TTTAATGATGTTCACGTCTAATGTTCGGACAAAGATTTCATGCCACGCGCGGAATCATTTCCTTGTGGTTTTTTTCTGTTTTGTTCATTTTATGATTGGTAGAATTGAAATATGTAATAAAATAGTGTAAATAAAATGTTATTATTATTATTATCTGGAAGGTCTCTCTGAAGCTTTCAACAGTAGTTTGCCATCATTGAAACGCTCCATCTTCCCTGGTATGTTTTTTCCATTTCCTTGATATCTTGGTGAAATCGTTCACCATGCTCTTCACTATCATCTTCTAAATATTCTGGAAAGTAGTCGAGATGGGAATGAAGGAAATCAACTTTTCATTTCTTAAACATCCCTATAACCTGTTTGAAGGCAATTCACCCTTCTCTGTGAGGATCCGTCATGGTTGTAATGATTTTTGAATCAGCCAGGCTCCGTCTAATATCTGGTCCAACGAAAACACCTTCCTTCAATTTTGCCTCTGAGAGGTCTAGAAACTTTGATATTACGAGTATATTTTTTGGCACAGCACAACATTTTTTTTCAATAGCTTCCACCTATTGTCTTCTCAGTACCCGTGGAGCTAAAGTGGTATGATTCTCAGTCTGGATAAGATGTTGACTTGAAATACTTTTTTTGTTTGTTTTTTTGCAAAATGTTAACTAACTCCTGACAGTAACCCATGCTAGTACCAGTGATGAGATTTATAGCAGACCGGAATAGAGCTGTCCGGTGTAGTGTCCTGGATACAAAGCTTTTCAGCTCTGGTATTATCTGCTCTCCAATCATTTTGCTCAAAAATAACTCTAAATTTATTGTTACAGTAAAGACGTACGCCTACCAGTTCAGCTACAAAGAGCAATGGCAGCTGAAGCAGAAGCAGCAAGAGAAGCCCGCGCCAAAGTTATCGCTGCCGAAGGAGAACAGAAAGCTTCCAGAGCTTTACGAGAAGCTTCGGAAGTAATAGGCGATTCACCAGCTGCTTTGCAACTTCGTTATCTTCAGGTATATTTTGGTCTTGAGCATGTTCTGTGGCATGTGATTTGTTGGTTATGGTTGCAACCCGTTTAGATTGAGAAAGTTGATGTTGAGTGATCAGACAAATAGTCACCTTTTTCACGATGATAGATTTGAATCAGCATCCCTAACCTAGCAACACGAAGGTTAGGTAAGGTTAGGTTAGGGTTACCTGACCTAACCTTACATAACATATATTTCTCAACCTTACCCAACCCATTTAATTTAATCCTTTAGATGATGGAATTTCACTTTAAACCAAGTCTTTCCAAAATAGTTTCTGTCACGCAACTCATCAACTTTCCCTTGAAGAGGTGGATTAGAAAAGATTCGTAAATTATTCTAATGCATATACATCGAACAGATAATTTATGAAAATAATAGGTTTTTTTAGTGATGACGTTATCAAATTCTTTTAAAAATTGAAATATGGGACATATTGAAAGGTGGACGAAAGATAATATTTCATTTTATCTATGAAATAACTTTACAACTCAGATTCAATTCAGTGGACTGCACTGAAACCCACTGCAACCCACTTCACAACTTGCAACTAACCATGAAAATATATAGTTAGGTTGTTTCAAGAGTTTTGTCCGTTTTTATGATTCTACTTAAAACTGTAATATATCAGCGTATACATATTCAATTTGATTGGAATAAGTGCCATCCGATTCAGTACTCTTTTGCCAGAGTGGCACAATTAATTTCGTCAGCATAATGATTGGATGCTCGAGATTCGATGAAGTCGATAAAGGCCGTTTTTGGTTGCTCCTCTTCTGTTGATCACTGCCACTGCTGCTGACGCAATTTTTGCTACATTTCGTCGATTTCCTCACAATATGACTCGGCTGCGAAGGTTTGAGCCTGTTGCAGTACTGTATGGTGGCCACCAGCTACTGGCCACTATACATTAGGTTAGGTAAGTTCCAAAGTGAGTGGGTCTATTCGACCCTCCACCGCAACCCGCAAGGGTTTATTGTGGCTCACACCAATAAACCCACCTTCTCAACGAAACTATTTATTTTGTATGGTGAGTGATCTTTCAGGTCAGATGGAAAGAGTACAGCTCTGCCGACCTCTAAAAACTTGATTCAGTCCCCAGCGGGGCAGGCACAAAGTATGTGCTATGCTGCTTCATCATTTTACAAACAGCGGCGACACACACTGTCTTCCGACAGTCCGAGTCTCTGCATATGATGGTTCAAATGACAGTGACCTGTAAGAAGGCCTGTTAGACATCGTACTTCATCCATACTGTAGTTCATCCCTACTGTAGTCCAACAACTGTTCAAGGGTGAAGGGTGAATAAACGCCTTAGAGTGAGCCCACCCTGGAAGATTTTGCCAGAAGTCCCTACATCTTCTTTCCATCCAGGTGTTCAATCTTTGTTTGGCAAACCATATAGTAACCATGGTCTTTTTTTGGTGGGTTTCCAATCTCTGTCCTGAATTTCTCCCGTTGTCGTCGAGGGTCCACTTACTTTTCATCAAACGTGACGATCGGATCTAAAAAAAAGATCGTTTCGGTTGTGCACAAGCAAAGAAAACAAACATCAAAAAGTGACCAAATTTTGTCGGTCGTCTAAATCGTAGGGCCCACTTTTCGAGGTTTTAATATTTCCAATACATTTTAAACCATAAAAAAATGCCCACGCTCCGTTTGTGATGGGTTAGTCTCCACCAGGGGTCGAAGTAGCCGACCTACAGTAGGCTACTTCGAGGCTCGCAATCCAACGTCGAACATAACTCTATCATGGTTAATTTTTTGAGCTGTTTCGGCAGCGCTTTGGTTCAATTTGAATTCGTAAAAAAAATTATCTGAAAATCGCTCAATGATCATCATATACTCAATAATAAGCTGAAAAGAGGCAATTTGGAATAAATTAACAGCATCAATGAATACAGTACAAAATTCTTTATGGATAAGCATACGATTATACCACGATACAGTAGAATGAATACAGTGCATTTCTTCAATGTTCCTCCCCCCTTATATTTTTAGAAAGAGTCAACTCAAAAAATTGAGATTTGGGATAATGAAATCAATGCATGAATACTTTATTTTGAAGTGAAATTGACAGATGAAACTGGCGACTGGGCGCCATCTGGGAAGAAAATTAAATGAAAAGAGGGGTCTTGTGACACATCATTTTGAATCCCCTGACGAATAATTCACAATCCTAGAATATTGAGTTAATCTTCACCTACTACAAAATGCCGGAAATTTTAATAATTTCCTGAAGACTCACACATTATTATAGATACTCCTAGAAACATTTCTTTTCATCTGCCATATGGCAATTGAAACAACCCGATAAAGTTTGTTAAGTTATTTTTTGTTTATAAAAACGACAAAAAGTGTCAGTACGGTAATGAACATCATTGTTTAGTTAGAGTATTCTCATTTAGTTTTTGGTTTTGCTAGTAGAAAGGTACCACGTCAACAATCTCTAAAATGGTCAATTCTCGTCCATTGGAAGAGAAAATTGAAGCGATTTTTATTTACGGTGCGACGCGTAACTTTCACGAGACCGAAAGGATTTTCAGTGAACGTTTTCCGAATCGTCCTATCTGTAGAAAATATTTGAGGAAACTTGTATCGAAATTCACAACTACCTGTAGTGTACATAACAAAAAGCCCCCAGGTCATCCGTCCATTCCAGAAGAACAGCAAGTGCAAATGATTGGTGAGATGGTAATAAATTCTGAACATTCTACTTATTCCGTCGCGAATGTTTGTGAGGTGTCTCCTTCTACTGTGTGGAGACTTTTGAAGAGGGATAGGTATCATCCATACAAAATTAAAATGGTACACCAATTAACTGAAGATGGCCCTGATCGAAGAACAGAATGCTGCGAAATCATGACGAAAACCATTGCAAGGCATCCTACCTATCTCCACAGTATTTGTTTTAGTGACGAATGTACATTTTTTTAAACGGCAATGTTCACAGACAAAATTGCCGTTATTGGAGTGACACCAACCCTCACGTTTTCCGGGAAACACATACCCAATATCCAGAAAAAAATAATGTTTGGGCAGGAATATTGAGAAACCTCTATTTATTGATCAAAATTCAACAGGCAAACTAGAAACTTCTGTTGACCCTCTCATCGCTGAAATCGTCGAAGCAAATCCTGAAGAATTCGATATGAATATTGTATTCCAACAAAATGGAGCACCACCACACTACTCCATACAAGTGAGGAACTATTTGGATACTACTTTTCCCGATCGTTGGATTGGCCATCGAGGTTCTACAGAATGGCCAGCCCGCTCACCAGATTTGACACCTCTGGACTTTTTTTATGTGGCTATTTGAAGCAAAATGTGTACGGAACTGAGTCTGCTTTTTACTGTGTTCGAAAATGTTCGGCGTGAAATATCGGGTATGCTGTTCATATATCAAGAAGTTCAAGGCAACCATTTCGAGCATCTTCTGAACTGACCGCAAGCTTATTACCTCATATTATGTAGTGAATTGTCCAATGTATTCAGGCAATTAGGATTTCGTGTTAGGAATCGCACGTTAAAAGGTAAGACCTCGTTAGTCCTTAGCTCGCACGAGTTTCTCAACTTCTGAGAGTTGTCGTTCGTATGGGGGCGACAGCTGATTAACGGAAAAACAGATTTTTTTAAACAGAATTATCGAAAGTTCCGTCATTTTGTAGTAATTGAAGATATTGACATTATATTCTAGGGTTGTGAAGCATTTGTCGGGAGCTTCAAAAAGCTTCACAAGACCCCCTCCGTTTCCATTAAATTTTTTTTCTCAGATGGAGCCCAGTCGCCATCTTGGAAGTTTCGTCTATCAATTTTATTTCAAAATAAAATATTCTTGCATTCATTTAATTATCCCAAATTTCAATTTTTGAGTGAGGCAAAACTTTTGAAACAACCTAATATTTCAAACGAGAAGTTGTTACTTCTGTCTTTTTTACACAGTGGAGTCTGGCAAATACCTAACCAAACACAACTTATTTCTTGGTTATTATCGAGACGGACATTGTATTATTTCCGCATAGGCATTTTTAAAAGTTTTCGCACAGAAAAAATCTTTCATTATATGCTAATCGAAATGAGAAGGATTTCTCATATAAGCAGTCGCGTTCCAGACGGTACTACTGTATCAGTTAGACCTGTTCTGCCTTGAGGAATAAACAAGAAACATCTACAAAAAAACCTACACATCCGAGTATGTATGTTGAATGTATACCAATATCGGTCATAGTATTATCTAGGAAAATATTGGTCTGCCCGTGAGCAAATCCTATTGTATAAACGTGTGATCTCAGGCAGCGCCGTTTCGACCCACCAAGGTATCATCAGTGGTGCTACGCTGAACCACTCAACTGTCCTGAAAATAAAGGTGATTACATTTTCACTTACGTCAGATAGAATACTCAATCATCACGATGGGATAGACATCACGACGGGATAGACATGATACTCTATCAACGAATATCAACGTTAAACGAACCTCCCCAAACCGTTCATCTAGTTGCCTTGAAGTGATAGATGCAGCAAAGACAGATGACGAATCGCTTGGCTTTGCAAATGACCGCTTTGGGGAGCCTCGTTTATCTTCAATACTCGATGATTGAGTTTTCTGTCTCCGTAGGGGGATATATCATCACCTTTACACGAATCCTAGTATGTGGGCTGGATAAATTGGATACATTCTCCGAATTTTCATTCAAAATAATAATTTTTTTGACGTTTATATCTGTCTTCGACACAGCCATTGACTAATTTGATTTTAGTTAACGATACCAAGATGATATCCACCGGTCTCTTGACAATGACTAGATTCAGTGATTTTGGTACTAAAATAGCTAGAGTTTCCAACTCAGGAAAATTTTGCAGTTCATCAACAAAAATCTCGATTTTCACAACTTCGATAGATCTTACCGCTTTAGGAGCCATTCCATTTATTATTCTTCAGTTTTGATTATTTTATTGTCCACTGCAGCTTATTGTTGACA